CATAGGTGGCCGAGGCTGACCGTAGGTGGTCAGAGGTGACCATGGTGGGCATCCATGACCGTAAGCAGTCATAGGTGGCTCTGGCTGACTGTAGGTGGCCACAGGTGACCATGGTGGGCATCCATGACCGTAAGCAGCCATAAGTGGCTCTGGCTGACCGTAGGTGGCCACAGGTGACCATGGTGGGCATCCATGACCATAAGCAGCCATAGGTGGCCTTGGGTTCCTTGGTGGCCCCTCTGGGCCACATCAGCCCTTCACCCCCTTCCTCTCTCTGGCACAGGGGTAGACGCCACCTTCGTCCTCCTCATGTTTGTCCTCATCTCCGCCCTCATCGCGGCAGGGGCCGCCCTCGCCTGCTTCATCAGGTGGGTGCCACCACCCCATGGGGTGCTGTGGGGCTGAGGGGGGGGGGATGGGTGACCTGGAGGAGGTACAGGGTCCCCGGCGGGGGGTGAGGACACCTCAACAGCTTCAGTGTCCCCTCCCTGCAGGCGTCGCATCCAGCAGGCCCAGCTGATGAAGGGACCCAATAAGATCATCCTCACCATGGAGGACCTGACCTTCATCAACACCCAGAGCAGCAAAAGGGTGAGGGACAGGGGGGGGACCCTCACGGGGGGACTTCTGTGGTGACCACGTTGGCTCGGGGACCCGATGGCCCCAGAGGTGGCTGGAAAGGAGACCCTGTGGCCTGGAATGTGTCCCACGGTCAATCTTGGCTTTGGGAGGAGAACAGTGGGCTGGTGGGACCCCGGGGGGTGACATGTCCCCATGGCTGATGGTCCCCATGGCTGATGGTCCCCATGGACTGGTGTCTTCCCTGTAGACAAGCTGGCCTCAGGGAGGAGACCTATGGACTGTTAGGTCCCCATGGGTGACATATCTCAAGTGTCCCTGTGACCTAAGGTTGTCCCCGTGACCAAGATCTGCCTTGGGAGGTGACCTATAGGGTGATGGGTCCCCGTGGGTGATGTGTCCCAAGGAGGGTGACGTGTCCCCATGGCATGAGGTGTGTCCCACTGGCTGACATGTCCCCATGGCACGAAGTTTCTCCCAAGGCCAGGCTCTGCCCTGGGAGAAGATCCACAGGCTGGTGGGTCCCCGTGGGTGACGTGTCCCCATGGCATGAGGTGTGTCCCTCTGGTTGATGTGTGCCCGTGGCACGAGGCGTCCCCCATGGCCAGACTCTGCCCTGGGAGAAGATCCACAGGCTGGTGGGTCCCCATGGGTGA